TGTTTACTCACAATGCTAATGCTAACCTTACCCTCTTCCACTCAAGAGGTAGAGGAGCCAAAGGCTCACTGCTGCCAACTAGTGGTCAGAGGCTGAACTACAACATAAAAATGAATGGTTGGCAAGAAGGTTGACATTTTAAACCTTAATTAAAAATCAATACAGGGCTTTAGAATATCGATACAGTATTGGGAAATGAAATATCGCGATATTTCAGTGTATCGATATTTGCTTACACCCCTAATAAAGCCTAAAGAAATCTAATAAAAGTTTTCTGTGCCCACACATAGATTGTATTAACAAAATACTGCTATGTTTCTCACTGAATTCTATAAAAGGTTCCAGGTTTAAACAAAAAAAGGTCACCACCTGGATTTAACTAAACAAATAKGTAAGAGCCTCCCATTGGATAATTACTGCATGGGTGATCATGTTTCAGCTGACAACAAGTTATTTAACCCTTGACTGGTGCAAAGAGTAGCTTCTTAAACAATCATGTGGAAAGACTTCCATTTCATAAAAAAGTTAATTTCGCTCCATCAGTGTTAAAAAGCAATAGTGTTTCATTGCATAGTATTCAACTGCATTTGAAGGAGTTGTTCCAAAAATAAAATTCATCATCAGGAGACACAACAACCTCACTTACACGTAGTAAAAATCACTTTAAAAACTTCTAGACCAGAAGCTCTGCAGTGATCTTCATCACTAAAAACTGTGACTCCATAGTTGGATTGTGAGAGCATCTTGTCAGGGTTAATGTGTGGATATATTCTGATATAGTTGGTGTCAGAGTTTGAACTGAGTGAGACTGTGTCTTATGCAGACACGAGGTGTGTCTCAGACAGTTTGGTTATGCTTCATCAGAGATTGAAAGCCCCAGGTCTTCCTCCCAAACCTGTCTGGTTCTGGACCATGATGGTGGGTTGATGTCTTCTTTATGAATGTAAGGACATCAACTGTACGGTTTTCAGGTGTTGCTCTTATTGTTGGTTTAAGTTGATGAGATAACGTCTCTGCTCTGCCATCATGTTCATAAGTTTGTTTCATTTTGAGCATCATTCGTTCAGTTTGCCTTGTTGAAAGTTTGTCCGATTCTGTTTGTAATAATAGTAATACGTTCTTTGTAAAGTTTAGGCATTGGGTTAAAGGTTAGCTGGTTGTTTGTATCTAATATTTGTTGGTTTAATTTGCTGAGAAATCTAGTTTGTTCCTTTTTATCTGTAAGATACATACAACATAATCCTAAAACTAATCCTAACCTCTAAGACTTGCTTTTAGCGACCCCTGTACAGTGGTATATGACATTCATGGGGTGGAATTTATCTGAAAGTAGGAGACTGTTTGGTCAGAAAATTTTYCAAATGAACTTTGCATTAACTGATGGATCAAGTTGTCATGAGCATTGGAGTGTAGGGCTGTTTAGGRATAATGTATTTAGTTAAACAGGGCAATGGTCAGAAACCTGTAGGCTATGGTATCTGATATCTGTTACAAAGGACATAGTTAGATGATCAGTTAAGAAAAATAAWTTTTTGGACGTGGTGAACTGGTGTTGGGAGGTTGGGGACTATCCAGTGGATGGGTTGATGTGTCTCCTAGGAAAACTCATGCAATATCTGCATAAAGAACATAATTAATTCAGTTGATTTAGACACACTCTGGTTTTGTTTAGGATTGGATTTACCTGAGGCTGGTTGTAGTGTGCATCTGAAGTCCCCTGCTATTATTAGATGTAAATTAAAGTCAGGAAGTTTTCCAATGAGGTCAGAGAAAAGTTGAGAATTGTCCCAGTTTGAGCCACCAAGTTACCATCCTGTTCCTGTAATGAAATGGCTCTTGTCATCTGGTGTGATAGTAATGGATGTAAAAGGAACACCTTTCTATATTAAAACTGCACCCCCCCCCC